AAAATGTATACCCATGGCATAAAGTAAAGTAATTGCTATCTGTAATAATAACAATAAAGCAAGCCCTGAATTTTAAAAAAACAAAAAGAATAGAAACAATAATGGAGAGAAGAATAAAAAGCTTCCCAGTTTGACTTTGTTCTAAAATTGCTAATGTATGCTTCCCTCATTTACATGTCTTACAGGATTCCCAGCTGTGGTTGCTACAATACTTAGCATGCACTCCTACTTAGGATTGCTTATTGTAAATTGTGTTCAGTGAGCCTTACAACCTGGAAATGTGGCAAGTAGGCTTGCAGCCTTTTGAAAAAATATCCAGTATTTCATTAGTATTGTATATGACAAGTTAAAAATAATACAATTGCCCTAATATTTACTATTAAGATGCCACCTATTTTTTTAACAAATCACTCATAATTTAATTTTAAGATATATTCAAATGTATACTTGAAACTATTCGGTTTGTACTCTTTTTTCCATTACACCCTGAAAGAACAATTGGAAAAAGAAACCCACCACCCAGTTATCATGCAGCAAGCCCCAGTAAACAATGGGATATTTCTGAGTACCGTAAAACATTAATAAGGTTTTGTTTTAACTTTTTTTTTTTTTTTTTTTTTTTATTGCTGGACTTCCCAGAGCTGAGTACAGGCTTAATTAAAAAAAAAAAAAAACTTAAAACACTTTTAAAACCTAAACAAATTTAAATACAATCATCATTCTATATAAGCTCCCTCCAAAAACACAAATTTAAACATTACTTTCTTTGAATATCTATATCTATAATATAAAATCTAATTTCTCCCTCTTTCTTTATCCTAAAACGAATTTAAAGCTAAATACTCTTAAAGAACTTAAAGTAAGTACATATTTCCTTCAATCTTCATAATCTTCTCTCCTATCCAAAAAGAAGAAACAAAAACTTAAAAAACCTATAAGTCCTAAACAAATCTAAGCACATTTAATTAAACAAATTATTTTGAGAATCCACTCACTAAAATAAGCAAATTATAATCCCTTCAAAACACAAATTTAAACAATATTATCATTAAAGGTTCAAAACTTAAAACAACAAAGTTAATAAACACATTAAACATTTCAATCTTCACCAATAACTAATTCCATCCGATCTCAATTATATTAGTATTATTAATTATTCACATTCCAGTTTTTTCCATTCTCCATTCTTCCATTCTTCCATTTCCCTTCTCCATTCTTGTATCAAACTCGTAAGAAATGCTGCAAGTTCTGCCTTAGGAGACTGCTCCAAAATTCCTGAATCTCCCATCGACTCCGAAGCCAATAAGGGTTCCTTAAATTCCTCCTTGTATTGATCTTTACAATTGTAAGTTGTACAAGTTATCCTCTGCCCGTTCCTCTCTTGTTGATGCCCCTCAGACTGAGATTTCCCAGTTTCCATTTCAGGCAACAATTCCACCCTTAAAGATTGCTCCAAAGACTTTGTAGGTCTAACATCTCCCAGAGATTCAGAAACCACTAAATATGAAACTTCCTTAACCTTCTTCTGTTGCTGCTTTTCTTTGGGGAGTTGTCTTCTGCTCCTCAACCTGGACTTGTTGAGGCCTCTCACACAAAGATTCTCCAGTTTTCATAAATGCTCTTCAAACTGTGATTCTACATTCTTTTCTTCCAAAGCTTTAAACTTAATTGATGGCGATGCACATACCCCCAGGACCGAAGTATAAAAATCTTTTGCTTGAGAAACAGTATTAAGTCTATAACATGTCCCCAGGTAATTCACCACCATTCCAATCGGAACATCCCATCTGAATGAAATTTTTCTCTTTTTAAGTTCATTTGCTAAAAAAGCAAACTCCTTTCTTCTTCTTAAAATTTTAGATGGGATCTCTTTAAAAATTATAACATCTTGTGAAGCAATTTGAAATCTCTTCTTATAATAGGCTTGCACAATTTCATTGCGTAAAGATCTTTTACCAAAGTAAATTACCACATCTCTTGGCAGATTCTTCTGTGCTGCCACCACAGAGTTAACCCTAAATAATTTTTCAATTAAGTATTCCCTCTTTTTCTTTATTCAAAATCAATGCAAAGTCCTTTGCAACCATCTCCTTCAGATCTCCTTGCAAAGACTCTCCCAGGCCTCTAATTCTTAAGGCATATTCCATTTGTCCATATTGAAGCATAAGAATCTCATTTTCCATTTCTTTTTCCATACTTTCAATTTTCCCCTCCATTATGTCCACTTTTTCAGCTACCTCTTCCACATGGGAGTTCACCTTTTCAAGAACAGAAGCAACACCTTCTAAAGCCAAAACAAAATCTTGTCTCAAGATCTTATTGTTTTCCTCTAAAATCTTTTTCATTTCTGCCCTAATTTGAATTATAACATCTCCCATCATGTCTTGCAAGTCCTTCATAGTTATTAGCTGACCCCCAGAAGAGGGTGAAACTGTTGATTTAGAAACTGTAGAAATCCCTGGACGCTTTGGAGCCATCTTAAAGAAAAACCTTTAGTCCTTCTTAAGCAATTATAAAAATTCCTTCAAAAATATAACTCCCTCCAAAGAAGGTCATTATAATAAAAAGAAAAAAGGGAAAAAAAGGAAGAGAAAAAGAATTAAAAAAAAGTTTTACTCCTTCTTAAAAATTACAAAAAATTAAACAGAAAAAAAGTCCTTCAAAAAAGGGTCATTACAATTTCAAAGGAAAAAAAAGGGAGAAGGGGTAAAAAAAGTCCGTTCCAAAAAAAATACTTAGAGATACCAAAAACAACCATTCCAATCATAAGGAAATAGCCTGCCGGTCAGCATTCTAACTTCCAGACACCGAGGAGTTTGCCGATCGCCATTTTACTTTCCCTTTCAACAAAGAAAAAAAATAAAAAGAGAGAATAAAAATAGAAACAAATCTTAAAACTTAAAATCCAAATAAGTCAAAGAAAGCAAAAACTAAATCCTCTACTCAGCTCTGTCCATTTTCACCAGTTCTCTTTAAGCACGGAGGTGTTTGCGGCGGCTCGTTTTGTCCCTGAGGACAAAAACAGCTGGGAAGCGGAGACAAGTCTGAACTCCGTGGGAGCACTCCTTTCACAACTTGGGGGGTGGCTCTACCACTATTCAGACACTCTCTACCCCCCCCCTTTGCCCGGGAGGGGGATTTTGAACCGCTGAACAGCTGATATCTGCTGTTCATAGCGGTTCTTACACTTACCCAGGAGGACGGCTACAAAGTAGCCGCCATCACGCACGCAAAATCCACCGGAAGTCCGTTTTGTTTTAACTTTAAAGTAGCCCCTAGAGCTTCTTTACAAATTATTGAATTGCTTCTGCTGAATTGCTTAAATTTGCTATTTCTAAACCCCCTTGTGCATAAGTAAAAGTTGCAGTTTTAACCCTACGACTTTGTAATAATCTCAGCAGTTCCTCACTCCTGAAGCCATCTTATTGAGGTGCAGACAGCCATTTCAGATCAAAACAGCCAGTTCATGCTGTTTTGAGATTCATGTGAGAATCTCATAAAATGAGAAATATTGTTGGATCTATGACAATTATAACATCATTGTTAAGCTACTTGAACCATTATCTTTACTAAGATCAGTAGAACATTATTCCAGTATTAGAATTGCCCTGAAACAAAGAACAGGAATCTTACTTTCCTGCTGTGCCAGTGCAGAGGAAACATACCCTCTTCTGGAGAAAGCATACTATCTACCAGAGGGGTATGTATGTGTTTGCATTTGTGCATATTGGAAAAATCAAGATGGCAATGATCTTGGTATTTTTTTTATTCTCCCTATAGATGTTCTGGCAGTGAGGAATTGGATGTAAACTGTTATGTAGTGAATTAAAAAAAAAACTTGCTGCAAATAAAAGAAGGTGGGCAAGAGCTGGCTGATGTTCTCTATAGATGAAAAAAGCATCATTTTTGAATCAAACTAAAAAGGCCAAACAATGAGCGAGGCAGCAATAGGTACCTCTAATATGTAGATTGGAAATACAAGATATAATGAAATTAATATAAGCTTGAAGCTCTCAAATCTGGGCTGCAAAACCATTGCTTGCCATAGTGAGTTAATAGCTTGTGTTTCCTTTTCATTAAAATGAAGAGTGGTATGTAATTAGCAACAATTGTTTATAGATCTGGTCCAAATGTATAAGCCAGATGTTAAATTGAAATGTTGCAGTTTCTGGTGACCAAAGAATGGGATACAAAAGTTACTTTGAATTAATAAAGGGAACATATCATAAACTCAGTGAGCCTAAAACAAACTGGCAATGAGACATTGAAATGTACCTATCTCTATGGAGCTTCAATGTGAACAAATTGCGAATAGAATTCTGGCTTAGCGTGGCAAGGGAATATGGCCCATTCTGAAACAGCTGATACACTTATTCCTCTTTGGGGTGGCAAGTGGGCTTCACATGTTACATTTGGGGTGGCAAGTGGGCTTCACGTGTTACATAGAAGCCAATTCATTTTTTGCTACTTTGAGTTTATTGGCTACACAGTCTATATGGTCATATCTTCCTGGCAAGTGTATCAGAGAGCATACGTATTTGCACATAGTCTTTTCTTTACTTTTTCTTAGATCTATGTTTGAGGTAGCTTTAAGTGTATATTTTTTTAAAGAAGTAAAGCCAACTGAAAATGACATGGGGTGTAGAAGAAAGCAATTCAGAAATAAGATTGGTCAAAGAAAAAAAAAAGAGCATTTGGAGAAGATGAGGGCAAGGCCAGAAAGAAACAGGCCACAGGTCCAGTTCTGCTGCCCTCCAAAAATAAGACTCTTCCTATAGTTATCCCAACTTCTTATAGTTATCCCATAGGTAGAAAATTATGAAAATTTACATCTATAATTCTTGAGTCCAACATCTTTCTGGTTGTCAAAGTTGTTCTTTTTTGGTAGTTTTCTGCTTTGAAGAACTGTTGTTTTAGGAACAGAGTACCTTCATTACTCTTACAGACAAGCTGAAATGCCCACCAAAGATGAAACATGGATTATATTTTTCTTTTCCTAGGTTCCATCCAGCAGCTGGTCTGATGGAGAGGATTCAAGCAATTGCTCAGAATGTCTCGGACATCGCAATGAAGGTGGATCAGATTCTTCGGAACAGTCTCCTAAATGGAAAATGTAAGAATACCATCAGGTGTGAAAAGAATAGTCTGGAACCAGTATCTTTGTTTCTATGCATACACTGAATAAATCTGAGTCTCTCATGTTATAGTGCTTCTGTATAGATCCAAGTTACCTTTTATTCCCCCCTCCAAAAAAGAAACCTTAGGTTTAAGCATTAAGGTGCAATATTCTCACATGGAAGAAATTTGCCATGTCTTGTATTACTATTGCAACTTAAGCAGCATGATTTAAAATTGCAGACTAGATATAGAATAGAGGAATGTGAGTGCTATAATCCAGAAGACAATTCTCTATGTGAAAAGCTCTCTGTCAAAGGTGGAAAAGAAAATGATGGCTTGAGATTGCCCATCAGCAATAATTAGACCTGTCACAGCTTTTCCAACTGTGATGACATGTCTTCTGTTTCTACTCAGTCAGAGTTTTTATGCCTAAATCTTTAGATAGGAGTCAGCATGTACAAATACGCACATCTGTACCTTTTATAACCTCTTAAATAAGACTGCATATAAAGTTAAACCAACCAAACCTACTTTCTAAGTATCCACCCAATTGCCTAAGCCATCTGTGAAACTTTCTCCACATAGTGGAGATGCGTGAGAAGAAATCAATTCGGCCTTTTGCTGAGGGAAACACTTAGATCCTCTATTCTTTTTTTGGTTGATATAACACATTTCTACCTTCCTCCTATATCCATACAGAGTCCCAAAGGTGCTTTTTCAAAAGGCAACTGGACTTTGTTTTTCCTTGAAGATGTTTCGCTTCTCATCCAGGAGACTTCTTCAGTTCAGTTCAATTTAGTTCAGAAGAAGCTTCTTGGATGAGAAGCGAAATGTCTTCAAGCAAAAACAAAGTCCAGCTTTGAAAAAGCACCTTTGGGACAGTCATGACCTGGATGACTGAAAATCTCCATAAATCAACCAATCTATTTTGCTCATTCTATTTCCTAATGTAGTTCATGTCTTTCTGATTGTTATGATTTATAAGCTATTTGTGCTTTACATTGCACATCAGGCTTGACAATCACATGGCCATCACATGACTATCTGTGTAATGAAGACTCAACATCTTTCGTGTTTGGATTCTGTATATATCAGAAGCACTAATCCATCTTAAATCAGGCCATCTGGACTGGGAATGAATGGAAACATAGCTACAGCAAAGTTGTTATAGGCATATTTTAATTCTAGGCTTGAAAAATGGAACATGCAAAATTAGTGAAAAGAACATTCATAATCAAATATTTCTTCCACATGGTTTCAAACTGTGGAAATTACACCATGGACATTTGCACATTCAGTTCTGTTTGGCAGCTTTTGTGCACATGAGGGAAAGGAGGAGAAGACCCTTTTATGTTGGCCTTATTTGACTCAGCTGGGGATGGAAGAGTTACTATCTGAAAAGCCATTGATAGGTGGAATGTCAAACATCATGAGCTGTAATTCTCACTGTTAGAACTGCCAAGCCATTTCCTAAGTCAGCAACAGCAACACAGTGGAAGAGAGGGGAAGGAGGGAGGAAGCCCATCCCCTTGGCAACGGATGCATATCCCGAGGACACCTTCGTCCTACTTCTTTCTTCAGTGTTCCTCACTGTGTGTATCACCTCCTTTTAGTGGATGGATATGCTAAAAGCCATAATTCTGGGAAAATCATGCTACAGTGATTCTGTTTGTTTCCTACTAAGCCACTAAAAAAAATTATCCCCAACAGAACCATTAAAATACATGCCTTAAATCCCATGTGGACTCATCAACTTTGCTTTCTGTTGTTGTTCCTGCTCTCCATAATATATTCTCTTCTAGGCTGACTTTCATTCTGAACTAATCAACATCACCTATAATAGTTGCTCTTATTTTGCCACTGGAGTCAGATGGGGCAATTATCACAGAAATCCTGTTAGTCTTAGGTATTATCTGTGGATTGTCAAGCTTGGGACTCATAATATTTGGGTCCTCTACCACAAAAAAGTGGCCACTAACTAGTGTTTAATCTAGTATCTACACCCAAGGAAGCCTTTCTGTCTTGTGTTTATTATTTACTTATTATTTATTACTCAAGCTTCTGTACTGCAACAATCCAAGATCCTGAGTGGCTTACAAGTTCATGTTATAATAAATAAGAGTAAAAGTAATATATAAAAACTGGAAGCATTGTGAATTCAAATTATAATTCTGCCTATCAATAGCCTCAGGGGTAGCATCATCCTTTGATTCCATCCCTAAAAGTCCTCTGAAAGAGAAAGGTCTTAACCATGAGATAGAAATTCAACAGGGAAGGAGATAGCTATCTGCAGATTACTGTGTGTCTTTTAATATCAACATCCTGCACATGCAGTGAATAGCATCTTGGCAGCTTCTAGAACAGCGGTTCTCAACCTGTGGGTCGCGACCCTTTTGGGGGTCGCACGAGCCTTTCACAGGGGTCACCTAAGACTATCGGAAAACACATATTTCTGATGGTCTTAGGCAGGGCTTGTCAACTGCTTTCTCTCCCTCCCCCCTTCTGCTCCACCTCACGTGTTTGTGGAAAATATGCTGCTTGGCGGCAGTCTGCACAAACTCTACCAAATGTGCCCTGCAGGGGGTGCATGAAGAGCGCAGGTGCAGAGCAAGGCCCCGCCCTCCCCAGAGACTCATTGTGCAGCAACTGGATTGACTTCTTCTTGTGCATGCAGCTCAGCGAAGAGGAGGCCGCCGCAGCACCCAACTCCTGTGCCCGTCAGCTGGTGACCCCCAAACTTTCGCTTGTCAGCCGGGAGGTCTGGCGACGGCCGCTGGTCTCCTTTGCCACCCTGCCCGTCCTCGACTGCTCCTCCGCCCGTTCATGTCGAGCCCGCCGGGGCTTGACAGGGAGAGAGGGAGGGAAGGAGGAAGGGACTCCTCCTCCTCTCCTAAGCTTCAAAGCATGATCGGCTTCCTAAGGGCACCACAATCCTCACAAAAGCGGGGGAGGGAGGAGAAGCAAAGGGGGTGAGAAAGCTCGTGGCGGGCTTGAAGCAGCACCTGTCAGCGTTGGTGACAAGAAATTCCCCACAAACCCAGGGAAGGGGTGGAGAAAAAGAGCCCCCTTTGGGAGGAAACCACCACCTTCTTCTCCTTGGCTTTGCGGTCTTCTGTTCCTTGGCAGCCGGGCTAGCAAGCCTTTCCTGGCTGGAACTTCCTTTCCTTCCCCCCCCCCTTGGTCTCTTCCTCCTTCCCTCCCTCTCTCCCCTTGTCCCTTCCTTCTTTCCTTTTTTTCGCCTCCCTCTTTGTCCCTCCTTCCCTCCCTCTTTCCCCTTGTCCCTTCTGCCCTTCCTTCCTTCCCTCTTGTCCAGGATCAGGGCGAACCTCTACAGCTGATCCGCACTTTTGCAGAGCAGCCAAGAAGCAGGTCAGCTGTAGCAGCTCTCCTTGGCTCCTGCCCAGCAAACTTGCTCGAGCTTTGCTAGCTTGCTAATTTAGCAGAAGCGTGAATCAGCTGTAGCCTGGCATTGATCCTGGGGCTTCTGCTAACTTAGCAAGCGGCTTGTTTTCTGGTGAAGCTGAGCAAGTGAGCTGGGTGGAGCTCTCCTCTGCCTCTGGCAGCCTGTCCCCCTCCCCTTGTCCCTTCCTGGGCACGGAGGAGGGGAGGAAGGAAGGGACGAAGAGGGAGGGAAGTAAGGGACAATGAGAGAGGGAAGGAAAGAAGGAACAATGGAAGGGAGGGAAGGAAGGAAGGGACAAAGAGGGAAGGAAGGAAGGAAGGAAGGAAGGAAGGAAGGAAGGAAGGAAGGAAGGAAGCATCAAAGCTTTATTCAATACACTATGGTAAAAATTCATGACTTAGACAATATAAATCCAGTCAGTATCTCTCTTTACCCCTAAAGGGAAGTTCTCATTGATAGTGAACAGATTTAATCATTGATGAGGGGGCTGGCCTAGTATGCATTATAAAACTTGGTTGGGTATCAGGTATAAGAAGCCCCTCAAATCTTGTGCCGACTTGGAGCATCAGCCCTGATCCTGAGGAAGGGGGAGGGTGTTGCCATTGCCATCTAAGACGTTCTGGGGCTTCCAGAAATGCCACTCTAACATTGATGGATGTGGGAATTTGTGAAATTGGGCCTCAGAGATCAGATGAGGCTGCTGCAAAGGAATCAGCAACCCTGATGTGAGGCTTCTTCTCTACCCGAGCCACTTGATTCTGTGGCAAAAAAGAGTTCCCTAGACTCTTGGGGACTTTAATTTGCCTTCTTTAGACCTTGTAATTATTTGTCTCATTGATGGCTTGTAAGTTAATTAGTTACTAGCATAAATCTCTGCTGTCACTTGCTGTCACATGTCTATATGTTGAAGGGCTTTTAAAGATGCTGTTAGAAATGTAGGGTCCAATAGACACAATCTCAAAGGTTGACAAATAGCCAAAAACTGAAATTTGGACCAACCATTAATCTTCCGTGTTGTTTAAGAAACCAATTAAAAGAAGCCATGAGACTTGCTACACCACCATTTAGGCTTCACTGCAGTTAAAATTGATAGTGCAGGGTTTTGTTTTGTTTTTTTTAAAAAAATCCTTTCTGCTGACCCTCTTAAGCTTATTACAAGTTCTGGACAATGAAAGGAAGCAGATTTTTAAACATTCGGGGAACTGCACTTTTCAAGGTGGACCACATCATGTAGTCACACTGATTTTTGTATTGTGAATTAAGTCCTTCTCATTGAGCATAGAATTACCTGGATGGAGAAGATATTACACACGTGATCTTTCTATGAGATCTGAACCAAAACCTATTAAAACAATAGGTTTAACAACTTCAGTATTCTTTAGCCATAAAATCTGTCTTAAGGGGATGGGACCAATGGTACATGAATTTCTGAACTTGTAAAAAAGCCAGAAGGTTGGGACTGGGAGATAGATAGATAGATAGATAGATAGATAGATAGATAGATAGATAGATAGATAGATAGATAGATAGATAGATAGAAAAAAGAAAAAGAAAAAAAAGAAAGATTTCTTTCTCCCATATTTGGGCCGACAGGGTGCATCAAAAAAAAAACACTCAAGGTAAATCTCCTCCCCCTGTTTCTTCCCTCCCTGATACAGCTGACAAAGTGAGAAAGAGCCTGTGGCCTAGAAGTTAATACAGCTGCCTAACATGCACACAGCCCAGGTTCAAATCTCATAAGGGTATGTCTGGCTGAAGAGAGTTAAGAAGCTCAAAATAGCTATTCCAGTTCTCCCTTTATTCTTTGTTAGCAATCAAAAAAAAATGTATATATAGATAGATAGACAGACAGACAGATGGATGGATGAGAGAGAGATAGAATAAAAGGAAGAGAAATAGAAATTACAAAACTGGACAATACACTGAAAACCTTGCAGAGTAATGTAATATATAATTACAAGAAAATTCAAACTACTTCATTAGAAGAAACATCTCTCTTTTACTCTTATTTTTCAACTTGGTTCAAAACAAATACAGAGAGAGTTGCATGATAATTTAACACTTTGTCACATTCAGAACTGTTATATTTAACTGCTATTTATGTCAATTTTTAGGTCAGCTATAAAAATAAAATAACATAACTGAAGTATTTAAACTTCTTATTTTAAGATAATTCAGAGCTTGGATATGGCAAATGGCCATGCACAGGATTATACGCTGTAGTTTCCAGATGAATTAAAACTAATATTAGATTTGGTTTTTTTTTTTTCATATCTGAAGTATTTTGGAGATTGCTGCGTGCTCCCATAATTTCATCTGCCATATTTCTAATAAAGGAATTAGAAGTGTTTTCCAGTAAAAAGCATAAAGTAAGAGCTTAGCATATATAAAGCCAGTTCAATCTATTTTATAGATACGGTATATACAATTCAGTAATACTAGAATTGTATTAGAAAAAGAAACTCATCATTTAAGACTTGTTGCATCATATAATAAATCATCTTCCAGATTAATTTGGGCTTTATGGCTTTATGGGATTAGAGCTTTTGGATAACTTATGATTATTTGGTTTAATTGTGGAGGGAAAAACAGAGATTGGAAGCCATGTATTTCACTCTTGAAAAAAGGATTTTTCATAATGAAGCATTCAAAATATTTAGAAGAAAAATCAAGATTCCTAACAATAGGGAGAAAATCGTGCCTAAAGGAAAAGCCTTGTGCTAGTTCCAGAGTCTGAAAATGTATATTTCTGTAGGTTCTTTAATTGGAAAACTGCTGAATAATATTTGGAGAAGAGCAAATAAATAAATAATCCTACTATCCATATGAATGAATTTAATTTGCTTATATTTAAATGCAAACATATTTCTCCCTTCTACTTCTTCAGCTTGGCAGATTATTTGTGTTGGATGTGGGGGGGGAACAAAAGCTGTTTCCAAGGACAGTGTGGTTTGGTTGCTTCAATAATATGAAATACTGTTAGGAAACCACAGTTCCACGTTTGGAACCAACCTCCCTCCCTCTTTCCTACAGCCATGGAAGGCCGACGGGACCAGTGTGAAGTGCCCAAAGATCCCAGGTTCTCTGACTGCTCTGGAAAAGTCGAGGTGAGTGAGTATGCAAGATTTAAAATTATATTCTGATTAGGAACAATGAGAAGATCTGCTCTCTTACTGAATGACAGTTAAAAACAACAATTAAAACCTTCTGAGGAAGAGGTAACCTTTTTCTAGCAAGCAAAATAGTAATCAACTAATCTCATCCACTCTCAAGTTTCCCTCGAGTGACAAGCAAAGCTGTGAAGTATAAAGGACAGTTAGGTAATGTTCAGGCAGTCGTCGACTTACAACCACGATTAAGTCCAAAATTTCCATTGTTAAGCGAGACAATGGTTAAGTGAATTTGGTCCCATTTTACGACCTTTCTTGCCACAGTTGTTAAGTGAATCGCTGCAATTAAGTTAGTAACCTGGTTGTTAAATGAATCTGACTTCCCCATTGACTTGGCTTGTCAGAACGTCGCAATAGGTGATCACATGACCCGAGGACACTGCAACAGTAATATGTATGAGTCAGATGCCAAGCATTTAAATTTTGATCACGTGATCATGGGGATGCCATAATGGTTGTAAGTGTGAAAAACGGTCATAAGTCACATTTTTCAGTGCCGTTGTAACTTTGAATGATCACTAAACGAACTCCTCCTCTGTTGAAATACAAGTGTATTGCATCCTAAGGTCTAGGTATTTCTAATCCTGTTAGTCTTTCACAAGACTTCAAAGACTTGGCTATGTGCAACCAGATAATAGGGTCCCTAACACATTAGGATTTCAGGCTCTCTAGCACATACAGCCTGAGGTCCTAAAACTGTTAGGGATCCCGTTGCCCTGTTAATTTTTAGGTAATTATTATGAACATTTTCACTTGCCTACAGTATATGTATATGTATAATTTGTAACTGTTATTGTGTTTTTATGGTTTAAATTATTATGATATTGTTTGCTGCCCAGAGTCAATTGGTTTGAGATGTGCAACTGTAGAAATTAAATAAATAAATTAAAGAGCTGAATAAAGAAGTAGAATTTGGAAGATGCTCCCTACATGAGCCAGGGAGCAGAAATTGGATTTTTATCCTGTTCATGCAAATCTGGAGTGATTTTGCAGAGAGCAGATGGTGTTGTGGGGGTTATGAATAACAGTTGCCATTTTATTACCTCCCCCAGTACAAGAATAACTCAATGGAGCACAACCCTGGATCCCATCCAACCATCCTATTTTATATATACTTTTTTAAAGTTTGCAAAATCATAGGACTTTCTGTATTACTGAATACTACTGCTCTATACCCCTTTATGGATTACTGCCTTGTCATGGCGAAGGGGCTTGTGTAACTCAATGAAGCTATAAGCTATGCCGTGCAGGGCCACCCAAGATGGACAGGTCATAGCAGAGAGTTCTGACAAAATGTGATCCACTGGAGAAGGAAATGGCAAACCACTCCAGTATCTTTGCCATGAAAACCCCATGTTGTTGTTGTTGTTAATTGCGAAGTCGTGTCCGACCCATCGCGACCCCATGGACAGTGTTCCTCTAGGTCTTCCTGTCATCTACCATCTTCTGGAGTCCATTTAAGTTCACACCTACTGCTTCAGTGACTCCATCCAGCCATCTCATTCTCTGTCGTCCCCTTCTTCAATTGCCCTCAATCTTTCCCAGCATTAGGCCCTTTTCCAGTGAGTCCTTCCTTCTCATTAGGTGGCCAAAGTATTTGAGTTTCAACTTCAGGATCTGGCCTTCTAAAGAGCAATCGGGGTTGATCTCTTCTAGGACTGACCGATTTGAACGCCTTGCAGTCCAAGGGACGTGCAGGAGTCTTCTCCAGCACCATAGTTCAAACGCCTCAATTCTTTTGCGCTCAGCCTTTCTTATGGTCCAACTTTCACAGCCATACATTGCACCTGGGAAAACCATGGCCTGGACTATACGCACTTTTGTTGGCAGGGTGATGTCTCTGCTTTTTAGTATGCTGTCTAGATTTGCCATAGTTTTCTTCCCCAGGAGCAAGCGTCTTTTAATTTCTTAATTTAATTAAGTCCCCATCTGAGGTGATCTTTGAGCCCAGAAAAATAAAATCTGTCACTACCTCCATTTCTTCCCCATCTATTTGCCAGGAATTGAAAGGGCCGGATGCCATGATTTTGGTTTTCTTAATGTTGAGTTTCAAGCCTACTTTTGCACTCTCCTTCTTCACCCACATCAAGAGGCTCTTTAGTTCCTCTTCACTTTCTGCCATTAGAGTGGTATCATCTGCATATCTTAGGTTGTTGATATTTCTCCCGGCAATCTTAATTCCAACTTTTGATTCATCTAGCCCTGCCTTTCTCATGATGTGCTCTACATATAAGAAATAGGCAGGGTGACAGTATACAGCCTTGCCGGACTCCTTTTCCAATTTTGAACCAATCAGTGGTTCTGTGTCCAGTTCTCACTGTTGCTTCTTGACCCGCATATAGGTTTCTCAAGAGACAAATAAGATGGTCTGGTATTCCCATCTCTTTAAGAACTTGCCACAATTTGTTGTGATCCACACAATCAAAGGATTTAGCATAGTCAATGAAGCAGAAGTAGATGTTTTTCTGGAACTCCCTAGCTTTCTCCATGATCCAGCGTATGTTGGCAATTTGATCTCTAGTTCCTCTGCCTCTTCAAAATCCTGCCTGTACTTCTGGTAGTTCTCTATCCACATACTGCTGGAGTCTAGCTTGTAGGATTTTAAGCATAACTTTACTAGCAGTGCAAATAGTGGTGCAACTGAAACGAGAGTGGTGCCACATTCTTTGACATTGCCTTTCTTTGGAATTGGAATGTAAACTGACCTTTTCCAATCCTGTGGCCACTGTTGAGTTTTCCAAATTTGCTGGCAAATTGAATGTAGCACTTTTACTGCATCGTCTTTTAAGATTTTAGAATAGCTCAGCTGGAATTCTGTCACCTCCACTAGCTTCTAGTTGTTGCTCAGATTTTCTAAGGCCCATTTCACTTCACATTCTAGGACTTTTGTCTGGCTCGAAGTCTCTGATGATCTCTGCTCTGCATATAAGAAATGACAGTATACAGCCTTGACTCCTTTTCCAATTTTGATCAGTGGTTCTGTGTCCAGTTCTCACTGTTGCTTCTTCATATGTTTCTCAAGAGACAAATATGGTCTGGCCCATCTCTTTAAGAACTTGCCACAATTTGTTGTGATCCACACAATCTTTAGCATAGTCAATGTAGATGTTTTTCTGGAACTCCCTAGCTTTCTCCATGATCCAGCGTATGTTGGCAATTTGATCTCTAGTTCCTCTGCCTCTTGCCTGCCTGTACTTCTGGTAGGTCCCTGACATTTTGGTCCTTTATCATGCCCATCTTTGCATGAAATGTTCCCATTCATATCTCCAATTTTCTTGAAGAGATCTCTGATTCTCCATTCTATTCTGTTGTTCTTCTTCTATTTCCTTTGCACTGTCTCCAATCTTAAGAAGGCATTCTTATCTCTTCTAGCTATTCTCTGGAATTCTGCATTCAGTTGGGTGTATCTTTTTCTTTCTCCTTTGCCTTTTGCTTTCCTTCTTTCCTCAGCTATTTGCAAAGCTTCCACAGACAGCCATTTTGCTTTCTTGCATTTTTTTTTCCCTTTTGGGATGGTTTTAGTTGCTACCTCTTGTACAATGTTGCGAACTTCCATCCATAGTTCTTCAGGCACTCTGTCTATCAGATCTAATTCCTTAAATCTATTTGTCACCTCTACTGTATATTCATCAGGAATATGATTTAGTTCATACCTGAGTGGCCTAGTGCTTTTCCCTACTTTTTTCAATTTAAGCCTAAATTTTGCAACGAGAAGCTCATGATCTGAGCCACAGTCAGCTCCTGGTCTTGTTTTTACTGACTGTATACAGCTTCTCCATCTTTGGCTGCAGAGCACATAGTCAATCTGATTTCTATGTTGACCGTCTGGTGATGTCCATGTGTAGAGCCGTCTCTTGGGTTGTTGGAAAAGAGTGTTTGTTATGACCATCGTATTCTCTTGACAAAATTCTATCAGCCTGTGCCCTGCTTCATTTTGTACTCCAAGGCCAAACTTGCCTGTTATTCCGGTTATCTTTTGGCTTCCTACCTTAGCATTCCAATCCCCCATGATGATAAGGACATCATTTTTTGGTGTTAATTCTATAAGGTGCTGTAGGGCTTCATAGAACCGGTCAATTTCATCCTCTTCAGCACCAGTGGTTGGGGCATAGATTTGGATTATTGTGATATTGAATGGTTTGCCTTGGATTCGAATTGAGATCATTCTGTCATTTTGGGAATTGTATCCCAGTATTGCTTTTCCTATTCTTTTATTGACTATGAAGGCTACTCCATTTCTTCTGAGGGATTCTTGCCCACAGTAGTATACCTGATGGTCATCTGAGTTAAATTCACCCATTCCTGTCCATTTTAGTTCGCTGATTCCTAAGATGTCGATGTTCAGTCTTGTCATCTCTTTTTTGACTACGTCTAGCTTGCCTTGATTCATGGATCTTACATTTCAGGTTCCTATGGAGAAAAAATCTTTACAGTATCGGACTTTCCTTTCACCACCAGATATATGCACAGCTGAGCGTCCTTTCGGCTTTGGCCCAGTCGCTTCATTCTTTCTGGCGGTACTAGTACTAGCCCTCTGCTCTTCCCCAGTAGCAGATTGGACACCTTCTGACCCGAGGGGCTCATCTTCCAGCATCATATCTTTTTGCCTTTTAGTACTGTCCATGGGGTTTCCTTTATGGATTACTGCCTTGTCGTGGCGAAGGGGCTTGCATAACTCAATGAAGCTATAAGCTATGCTGTGCAGGGCCACCCAAGATGGACAGGTTATAGCAGAGAGTTCTGACAAAATGTGATCCACTGGAGAAGGAAATGGCAAACCACTCCAGTGTCTTTGCCATGAAAACCCCATGGACAGTACTAAAAGGCAAAAAGATATGACGCTGGAAGATGAGCCCCTCAGGTCGGAAGGTGTCCAATATGCTACTGGGGAAGAGCAGAGGGCTAGTACTAGTAGCGCCAGAAATAATGAAGCGACT